AAACTAAAAGTTATTTTTTATCAAAACTTTAAATATTGTTTTCTCAAAAACTAAAAGTTATTTTTCAAAACGGGTTGGTTCATTGGAAAGAGGACACTTTTATTAACACTTTGGGAAATTTTCATACTCATATTCCAAGAACTTGATTTTATACGAATTTTTAAAACTTAATCGGCGAAAATTGAAAAATTCGAAAAAATTTAAAAATTTATTTCTCAAGAACTGAATGTGATGTTTCAAAACGGCTTTTTGCATTAAGAAGGGGATACTTTAATTAATAATCGAAAGTGATAACAGCAACAGTTTTGTTAGTAATGAATACGATGATGAATTACAAGCGAAGAGAAGGAATATGGACGAAACAGCAACAAGAGATTTTATATATCGTATTGGGATTGTTACAATGAGGTTGCTAAAGAAAAACCTGATATTATCATTTAAAAAATGGTCAGATAGGCCGAATACCTGATAGTTGCCGGATATCCATTCCACCATTAATATATATATATATATCTTTACTTAAACAATTGGTCATAATATTGGACAACCTCGGCTTAATCACATCAAACTGTCTCATTACATTTTATTACTTGATTATACCCATGTTAATTATTTTTTATTTTATTTTTGTTGACAGGAATGATTTTATCAATACTCACCTACAATGGTCTATTAAAAATGACATTGGCTGCAAGAGAAGGTATAATATCAAGTAGATCAGAGCTAAAATCAATTATGAAAGGAACAATTAATTTCATCGATAATTTGGCAAAAGAATTGATGATAATCGACGAAAAGAAATGATTGTTTTCTATGTCTTTAATAAAGTTTCATCATGAATTACCTCTTTTTTTTTTGGAAAAATTTTTCTTTGACTTGATATAATGGAGATGGCAATTTCAGTGGTGTCATTGTGCGATCATAATGTTCCCTGCCACGGAGAATCAAGTGCCATCGGGAAGTTCGCAGTGAAAAGGTGGAAGAAATCCCGGAAAATCCCGCCTATTTCCGCGGCGAGCTACGAAGTAAGTCCGTATAGAAATGTAAAGCTGTCAACGGCACGGTAGCCTATATTGACGGAAGTCGTATCCGGCCCTCTATTGTGCCGCGACTACGCAAGGATTGACAGCGCGCCAGATTGAAAAGTTTTTGTAATAACTTCATATACGCGCCGCGCTCGGTAAACACATGAAAGTGACATCATTATTCGGTTGAGAGCTGCATTTGAAGTGTTATTTTGTGTAAACAGAAACTTTTACGTAAGTTTCAATCGGGCATAAAAAGTTTATTGTTATTTCTCCAAATTTATGATAAAATTGTAAAAGTTAAAAGTCTTCTATAACCTTGCTAAATTGAATATTAATGAAACCCCCGGCGTTTAAGATGTAAATCCCACGACGACCGAGAATTCGAGCTTTCAAGAGCTTTATATCTGATCAACCGCGACAGCTGTTGCCCTCTCCTTACGCGGACCACAATGAATTATTCACGCCCAAACCGGAACTGTCAACACTCCGAAGCCGAAAATTCAATAGTAGACATTAGGACCGATAGTACAAATTTAATACAAGTTCGTCAAAACAAAGATGGGACCTCGAGATAAACGCCTCGAAGCCTGAGATACACGAAATGGGACGGCTGCTACACTAAAATTCTATTATTCCCTTGGTGACGTACCCTATTTTCTATCTTCTCTTGGTTTATTGGGGAGGAGTGTTAAAGAAAGAGACGGAAATCGAGGGGCAATAAAACTACGTTAAGTGGTTGGCGATTTTTCTAGCGATTCCAGAAAGGGGTTAAGTAATTACGTTTCGTTCATTTACTTTCAATATACGCAGACTTTATTTGGGGGAATTTTCCAGTAAATAAAATTAAATTGACACATAAGAAATAATATGAAAGGTGTTGATCGTGTGGCACGTCTAAAGTATAAACGGATTCATGAGATACAGTGACCGTGTGGAAGCGAGACAAAGAAGAACCATGGTGTAGAAAGTGTAGAAATCTTACGACGACGTGGAAGACGTACCGATGCGATTACGATAATCGCCTAGAATACGGCGATAATGCGATCGTGTGTTTCAGCACTGCTTTATATGTACGCGAGTCGACGAAGGGGTCATATATCCGAGTCCGGAGCCTCGAGATTTTTATACCGGAGCATATACCGACCGGCGAAGCGCCAACAGAAGGAACCCGACCGCCATAAACCATCCCCCGCCTCCGTCCGGAGGGGCCAAAGCAAACTGCAGTTGAAATTATGGCCCTATATTGAATCCAGCTGTAAATTATCCGTTGGGCGCGTTTTTGCGACGAGCTTTAATTCCGCCCCGATCCATTGTTAAAAAGCCATGGGCTGCGTTTCTCGTATATATGATTTGCGACCCGATTAAAATATTTTGTGTAATTGAGTTATGAGTTTGATTATAACCGTACTGTTGTGCTTTTTTCTCGTCTGTGACTGAAATCGTTCTGATTTATTTGATTTGAATTATGGGTACAAATTATTTCCGGGTTGAAAATTATTTTTATTGCGTCATTTGATTTATTCCAATACAATTATTATCGTTTTTATGAAATGTTATCATTTTTCAGGCGAGTAGAACCACTTTAGCCTTACATGCGGACGTTTAGTCCTGTTGAAATGTCCAAGGGAGTCGGTTGAAGTAAAACTGACTCCAAGGAAGCACTTCTTTCATCAGAATCTCATCGAGGTAGTTCTGGGAGTTGGTCAACGGTGTTTTTCCGATCGAAATCACTCCGGTCCAAACTATGTGTATTTGAATTTGTGTTTTACTTGTATATTTTTAATAAAAACATGAACAACAAACTGTTTAACATTTTACTGTTTTAACTGTCAACTACACACTCTCTGTCCACCGTACAACATGCTGCCAACCTAAATAAATAAAGTTACCAACATGTAAGTATACCTTTGATTATATATAATATGGATTGAGCTAACTGAATATATCTACTAACAAAAATGTTGCTCAAGGTGAAGAGACGCAGATGGAAAGCGATAATGTGAAAGTGTAACAAAGATAGATATATTATATGTCAGTACGCTTCTATATCTATCTCACTTCTATCAGTACACCCATTATATGGCAGTACGCTTCTATATCTATCTCACTTCTATCAGTACACCCATTATATGGCAGTACGCTTCTATGTCTACCTCGGTTCGATCACCTTGCGCAAGCTATCTCTCTCGTTGGCTCAATCCATATTATATATAATCAAAGAAGTATACTGAACTAAAGTTTTTTGTTTAATCACTTTCACTTTTCAGTTTTAATAGGTAATGGACATATTCTTGTAAAATCACGTTTTCTCTCATCACTGGAAGTGCGAATCAACGCAACTCGTGGAATTGCGTCCTTTCCAGGGAAAAGCTGAGATATACGACTAAGTTTCCATAACAATTGTGGTAAGTTATCTTTCTTCAATATCACCAAATCTCCCAATTTCAAAGATCCATAATTCACTTTCTATTTCTGTCGTTGTTGCAATTCGGAGATGTATTCCTTGGCGCATCTTCTCCAAAAATGTTGTTGGACTTGTTGTAGATATTGGAAATTACTTAGGCGGTTTTCTGTGATATGAATTAAATTCGGGTGTGATAAGGAAAGAAGAGGACGTTCAATAAGGAAATGGGATGGAGTCAAAGGTGTGAAATCATTAGGATCACACGACATTGGTGCAAGAGGACACGAGTTTAAAATGGCCTCGATCTGCACAATTACAGTATAAAATTCCTCAAACGTCAACAACCTCAGTTCATCATATGTTGGTATAAAATGCCAAACTATACATCGTTGTGTAATTTATCAGCAATCGTTTGAGTATTATCATTGAGCATTGTTGCTAACTGTTGTAATTCTTTATTTGCACCAACAAAATTTGTTCCATTATCAGAAAAAATATGGTTTTCCTCTTTGTGCCACAAATCTTTTTAATGCCAGTAAGAATGAATCAGTTGTAGACTTGGTAGATAAGCAAATAAAGAGACATATGTAACATTTTGATGTTTTACTACCTCTGCCTTTTCTATCCTTTATGGCGAATGCGCCTGTATAGTCTATTCCTACAGAATTAAATAGAAAAGTCGGCGTTACTCTTTGCTTCTGTAAAGAACCCATTATCGGAAATATGCTATTAGTATTTTTAGCCTTAAAACATGTAACTTATTTCAATTCTAGTTTTTTGCAAAATCAAATTTTCAGATAGCTTGACTTGTGATAATAGCTCCCAAAACACTGATGCTTCAAGAAGAATGTCAATCTTTCCTGGTTCGTGAAATCGTGTGTCAGCTAATCTAAGATAAGATGGAATTCGTAATGAATTTTTATCTATTGTTTGTGTGGGTAAATCATTACTGATCTCATCAATAATTAGAGCTGAACTGTTAGTATTATAATTATTAAGACATCAATTTATTTTAAAGAACACTGTTTTAATTTGTTAATTGTTGTCGGTGCTTGTGAAATGCCGCTAATGATTTTATTTATATTAAATCCTCGTAACTGCAATTTTTTGGATAATCTTGTTGTAACGAAATTTGATTGTGACGCGAGTCTAGTATTGCTCTGCATGATTATAAGTGTGTCCCAATGCGCAACTGGTTGCTTAAAGACATATATTATTATTATTAAGATTTGCTAATGACCTTAAATGTTTAGTGACATTATCTATTAACTGACGTAATTCAATATGAGATGCATTATTTATTGTTGATTGATTGAATAGAGCTATATAGTTGTTAATTAACAGAGGTCAATAGGGGGTAACAAATTCCATGCCAATATGTAATTATCAGCAGTAAATTCAAGTGCTTGAATTACCTGTAATGCGCTAACTTCAATTGAAGCTCGTAAATAATGGAACTTCTGAATTTGACCAATTGTGTTGTTTTGATGTATCAAAGACTCAAATGTATTCTAGCCATTGTTCATATCTGCCATCAAACTTAGGTAATCGAATTTCTGGAAACTTTATGTTATTGTTCCGAGAAGATCCGAGTAATGGTGTAGCTTGTAATGATTGTACTGACTGATTCTCGTTTGTGTGAATATTAGAAATAGTAACTGCTACTTCAATCTTCTAATCTTTTTCTTGTTCATCATAATTTTGATGTATGTCTTCGATTTGGTATTGAATAGTTTCAAACTCAGTTAGCAATGACTCAATTTTCTCTGTTCTTACTTCAAGTTCACATAGACATGTTTCGATTTCGATTTCCTCACTTTGGGCATTTCTTTTTTCAGAAAATTTGAAGAAAAGGTCAGCTTAGATTTTAAAGTGCCACGTTTTCTTACAAGGACCGTGATTTCTACCATTGATCTTTCGAATAACTAATTTTCGTAAGGAAAGGATGAAAAAGGATAAGAAGGACTTGCCTGTTTTGTTGTCCATGATGACGTCACTCCACCTGAAGGGCTTCTCGAATGATATGAAATTTACACTAAGACTTGTTGATTGAATTTTCTTCACGAATGTTATCGTAATTATCCGGTTCGAAGGACCATAGATTTATGTATTTGAATTTGTCTTTTATTTGTATATTTTTAATAAAAACACGAACAATAAACTGTTTTAACTCTCTGTCCACCGTACAACATGCTGCCAACCTAAATAATAAAAAGGTTACCAACCTCAAATAAATAAAGTTACCAACACTATGACCTGAGCGGCATGACTCTCAGGAAACGTAGCAACCTCGCTCATTCACTTTCTCAACCGCTCGCGCGAGAATTCTGTTCTCGTCAATGAAGAGGATGTCTTTTGAGCTTCGCTGGTGAGAAGCGTTTCAAAAATTTGCGACATCTCTCAAGACGAGTAGTTCATCTTCAATGTGTGAGTCTTTTGTATTTTGATGCTACGAAGCCCCAAACGATTATTTATGATGCAGTGCACAGATTTACAGATGATACTATAATAAAATCTCTGTTTCCGAAAAACAAAAAAGACGGGCGATGTGCAAGAAAAAGGTAATTCATTGAAGTCCATGACCTTCAAATTTGACCTTGTCATTTACAGTTTTGACAGATATTGATTTTGGTGACTTTTCAGACGATTTTAGATTCTAAAAACGTGCGAGATCGATAGATTGTATCGATTTAACCCATAGGCCGCAATTTCATCCATTTCAGTATCATTTTTTATATCTAAGGTCCAATTCTTCATTTCCAAACTTCAACATCAAATTACGACTTTCTCGAAGGAAATTGACACCTGAAAGCGCGTTTATCTAAGAAAAACGAAAAATTAGCAACAAAATTACAAAATCTTAATCAAATTTTAAGTTTATTAATAATTTCGAATATTTTCAAAATTGATAGTTATTTTCTTTAAAAAAATCAATTATTTTGGCCAACCTGTGTAATTTATAATTCCCGCAACTGAATCAACCAATCAGAGAGCCCAGATTCAAACTGAGACGATCAAATTTGGATATCCAAGATGCCTTTGTCCAAAAAGGGTATATAAGGCCGCGCAAATTGACACCGAAGAGAGTTCAATTTTGGCTAGAGCCAAGCGTTGTCGAATCTACGTAAAATTAACCTCAAATTTTCTAACCTAAGTTTGAACTTAGAATTTTCTTTATCAAGTAAAAGTTAACAAGTGTTTCTGAATTATCTTCGAAGAAATCTAANGATTTGGTATTGAATAGTTTCAAACTCAGTTAGCAATGACTCAATTTTCTCTGTTCTTACTTCAAGTTCACATAGACATGTTTCGATTTCGATTTCCTCACTTTGGGCATTTCTTTTTTCAGAAAATTTGAAGAAAAGGTCAGCTTAGATTTTAAAGTGCCACGTTTTCTTACAAGGACCGTGATTTCTGCCATTGATCTTTCGAATAACTAATTTTCGTAAGGAAAAAGGATAAGAAGGACTTGCCTGTTTTGTTCACTCCACCTTAAGGACTTCTCGAATGATATGAAATTTATACTAAGACTTGTTGATTGGATTTTTTTCACGAATGTTATCGTAATTATCCGGTTCGAAGGACCATACATATATGGTCCTGCGAAGGTCCTTCCATAGTATTTGAATTTGTCTTTTACTTGTATATTTTTAATAAAAACACGAACAATAAACTGTTTAATGTTTTAACTCTCTGTCCACCGTACAACAAGCTGCCAACCTAAACAATAAAAAGGTTACCAACCTCAAATAAATAAAGTTACCAACACTATGACCTGAGCGGCATGACTCTTTCAGGAAACGTAGCAACCACGCTCATTCACTTCCTCAACCGTTCGCGCGAAAATTCTCTTCTCGTCAATGAAGAGGATGTTTTTGAGTTCCGCTGTGTTTGTAGTTCATCTTCAATGTGCGAGTCTTTTGCACTTTGATGCTACGAAGCCCCAAACGATCATTTATGATGCTGTGTACAGATTTACAGATGATACTAAGCTTCTCAGCCATTTTTCTGAGACTCCTCTTCGAATTCTTGCGGCTCTTCTCCCGGACACACTTGACCATGGTGGAAGTCACTGTAGTCTTTTCTGAATATTTCTAGTTCTAGGTCTAGTGTTCGTTCTAGTGACAATGGTAGGTAGTGCTAGTTAGCGTAAGATGTTATATATTTTTATTGAACTAAAACTAGCGATGAATGCTCCGAAATATTTGGGCTAAACCCAAATATTTCTAGTTTCAGATTTAGTGTTAGTTTCAATACTCTGCCCATTTCCTTATATAGAGAATTTTAGATTTTTGTTGTTTAACATTCAACTAGTGATCTAATCTAATAAGTTGAAATAAATAATTTTAATTTCTAGCTATTAATTTCTGTTATACCTAGTCCCGTGAACAATTAACGAGGGTCCTCTTCCAGGATATAAACTCGAATAATCCTGTAAACTCACAGACTATTAAATACGGCCTCGGGGCGCATATTCAAATACTTCCATCGTTTGCATCACAATGGACCTCTACGTCGGGGGATGATAAGGGTCAGAACGGGCGTACCTTAATCGCCTGATGAGTCGCTTTAACTGCGAAATTCACCGACGTTGCAGTCTGCCCGTTTTGTTTCTGTTATTAAATATTAAAAGGGGGCAATTTGTCGGCGCCGGACAAATAATTAAAACCGGACGTCAGCTTAATTTGGTCGGCGCTCCTAATAGAGCCGTACAAATTGGCGTATTAACCGGTAAGGAATATTAATGTGAGGTGGCAAAAGAGAAAACTCAAATTTAAAGAGAGCACTGACCGCATCGCTTACCCGAGAAAATTATGTTTCTGGTTGCGAAAGCGGCGATGCTCACATTTATCAGATTACCAGAGATAAGTGTTTCTTATAGCTGAGTATGGGAGCAAAGGAGCTTTTTTATTTCACGACCGGAGAAGATATTGCGAGTTCTTGTCTTGCGGAAACAAATTGCAGCTATTTGGGTTGTTGTCTGTTCTCACGCACAATGACATATTTTGCCATTTCTATTCCTATTTATGTAGGTACCTACAAAAAAAAACATCTTAAAATAATTTATTTTCACAAAAAAGAAAAGCTTTTAATCTTGTCACCTGCAAATTATCCCCAGTTTAACATCATTAGACATAGTTTCGAACAATTTGTCGAATAGGGTTTGTAGAGAGGTCCTAGAGCGGCGCCGATTGATCAAAGTTGCGAGCACGACAGACAACATTGTCTGAAATTTTCGCATAACGAACCGGTTAAAGCGGAATTTCGTCACTCTCTTCTCTTTGCAGAAGAAGGGTAGGGTTCGGAAATTCAGGAAGCAGTTCCGACGCAACGAAGAGGGTGCTTATCTGGGCGACCAGCTGCAAACTTGTTTAATTTCGTCCCTCTTGTTCGACCGATTTGTTCAAATTCTCCGCGATTAATCCCGCGAGACGCGATTGTTCGATTGAAATGGATTCTTTGAGGGTCCAGGTACTCATTGTTTCCTTTCGCACCCGTCTAGACTGATTGTGAGTCAAATTTGATCTCATTATCGAACATTTTAATTAAACTCAAATCTGTCATTATTTTTATAATTTCGGAATAACTCTCATTTTCTGCAATAATCGCAACAATGGATCGTTTTAAGTTAATTTCAAAGCTCGCGAGGGTCTCTATACACAATGCAAACATTGTGTAGGTAAAAGCGAGACTAAATCTGCTCAAGAAACTTAATATCGCGTAATCTCCGAAACGGGGAGAGACCGGCTTTAATTGCGGAAATTGAGCTTAAAAAGTTAAACAATGGCAGAAGGATTATTTGATATTGCCTCACGTGTATGTATGTAAACGAAGAAATTAAAGTATATTAATTTAGGGCGTTGAAAAATGTTTTTCTTCTTCGTATTCGTTGCAACAGAATCAATAACTAATAACAAAGCCATTACGGGCAGACATTCAAATTATAGCCCCATTACTCCACGCTTTGTTCTCCCGGTAATCCAAAACTTTTCCAATTCTGTTTCCCATCTGAATTCTTTGCCGGAGCGTTCAACCGACTTGTTTGTCGTAAATATTAAAGCGCTGTATGTGTTTGAAAGCATCTTTCAACGGTTACAAAGGACCAGCGATTTCATGGTAAAGCTTTAACGCCTAAAAATCAATATAATCGCGTTTAAAAACGATCTGGTCCGCTACTTCCTCATCCTTCCGACTATATCGCTTAACTTTTTTGAATCGGTCATCAAATTCCGGGCTCCCCTAATGACCCGCTCTTGAGTCATCACATTTTCTTTCAGCCGCAATGATAATCGACCCAGTAGAGGGAGCATTGATTTGTGCCTCATCTCCGTCCAATACGATTTAATAAGCGGAAGAGGAAGCGAGAGAGTACCCCCTAAGCAAATTAGCAAGGTGCAAGGAGAAAAGAGGGTGAGAGATGTGTTTTAACAAGTTTCGCTTGGCTGTCAACTGCAGAAACAGAATAAAAGCGCGCGCTGAAGTACTCGAAATAATTGTCACTTCATAAATTGGCCCAATTTCGTTTAAACATGTTTCGGCTACGGAGAAACTTACACTATATCCATTAATACAATTTCGAAAAAGCTCAATTAGAAACTAGACGGATCATCTTTTCGTTTTCTCATTTAATGGTCGCATTGCGGGACAAACATTCACTTGAAAGCCTAACGACGCCTGAACAAACAAAATTCCAATTTGGAGCGTCTTATTAAAAGCCGGATTCGCGGCGCGAAACAATCAGTGTAGACTAGCTCCTTCAACACATGTTGCAAAACCGGCACCGACCAGATTCTAATAACGTTCTGCCGGTTTGCAAATCACCCTCGAGTACTATTCACTACAACCTCGGCTTCAGTAGGCCTTCAAGTACGTATTCAAAGTTTCATTGTTCCGTATCGACTCGATCAAATACAAACCCTATGACTCCAACCAGTTTGCATTTACGATAAGCACATAGTATTACGGAAGGTGGAGAATGAAAATAGATGGGGTGGAGTAAATCTTTGTTTAGTTTTAGATATTAAATGTTTATTAAGGGTATTAATATTATTCGTTGCGTTCTGATACATCGAGAATTGATTTGAAAAGATTTATTCCATTTTCCTTCTCTATCTTGAATTTTAAAAAAGTCCTAAAATAACATCTAACTTTTGATGAATTTGTCATAACCTAATTCTTGCGACTTTTTTTAAAAATAAATTTGATTTAATTATTGATTATTATACACAAAATAATTTTTAATTCAATTTTATCCTACTTACTATATCGATTATAATTTACTACTTCCATCATCATCATCGGTGAGACTCGTTTTATCTACATCTTCAGGTTCCCTTTCGATATTAACCTCCTCTATGTTAGTATTAAACACTACAGATTTGCGTCGTTCCCTCAATCCATTATTAACTACTTCTGAGGGTAATACCGGACTTGACGGTTCTTCGTCCTCCAAATTTGTCGTATAAAGATACCCTGTAGGTCTTCTTGTGTTTATCTCCATCTCAGGTTTTATACTGAAATCATACTCAAATTAATAACCCAAATTTATTCATAAAGATAGATAGTTTTAATTACCTTTGTGCTTGGTTCTTCGTAAACCTCGGACTTTCTAATTCAGTAGTTTTTTTAATATCTTTTGGACTCCCTTCTTCGTTCATTTGGTTATAAGATTTTAACTTTCTAAAATTATAATAATTATTTATTATAAATCAAAGTATTTCATTCAAAAATGTTACCTGAGTTTTAAAACATAAAACGCAATAAATCCTCCAATACATAAAGCCAATAAAATTGCAAGAACTACTACGCCGGCTATTAATCCTCCTTTAGAACATTCATCGTCGTCGCAATTACAATCAATCGGTGCTTCTGTGGTACATTCTTGGGGATTTAGTGTAGTGCAATCTTCTCCTGGATTTGGAAGAGGTTCCATGGATACTCCATCAACATCTCCTAATATATCGATTAATTCATTCGCTGTAAGAAGATTTTCTGTTCCACTATTAAAGGCGTATGCCGTGATCATTAATGATACATCATTTGAATTTCTACTATTTGATTTGGAATTAGGAAGAACTGAAGCTGAAAGATATCTAACATCGGCGTATTTTGCGAGATTATCCATTATGCCATCGAGGTCTTCTAAATGTTTATCTTGATATTTCAATATACATAAATGATCTTTTTGTAAAATTTTTATTGTTAGTCTTAAGGGTTCCTCCGATTCGTTTCCGTTTCCATTATCGTCTTTTGCAGTTACTTCCACGACCTTGTCATTTTCATAAATATCATCAGTTGGATAAATATACCCTGTATTTTCGTCAATCACAACTTTAGAGCTTGTAACTGAATATTTCAATGATGCGTAATCCCCAATATCTTTATCGGTTGCTTTTACCACAATTACATAAGGAGGTGAAACAGTTTTTAACAAATCCGATTCGGGGTAACCAACAACAACATTCGTCTTTTCAAATATTGGTTTGTTATCATTCGCATCATCAACGCTAATTCCAATAACAATTTGATTCGGTTCATTTCCAATTTTATTTATTGAATAACATTTATCATCACCAGCTGTAGTTTCATCTTTTAAGACAAATAATGTTTTTAAGGTACTCTTAGGAGAGAAATGTCTTTGTACTGCGTTAGAAATTAGATTAATTTTTGCGATGTATTGTGCTCTTCCAGATCCAAATTCATCAGATTCTCTATCTAATGATTTAGCCACAACATCACCATTTCCATTCAACTCGAATCTGTCTGTATTGGGTTGGATGTCCACAATTTCATAATGATATTCACTTCCCTCATTTAGAGGTAAAACGACGGATTCTTCTTCAGTTTCCTTGATATTAACTGCGAGGAATGTGTAAGGATTCCAAACGGTGCCATCAGGGCATGTTAATCCAGCTCCAATTCTAATTTTTATCTAAAATATTTTTAATTAATAAAAACAGAAAAAAGACTTTTGTAACAAAATGTTACCAAAGTAGTTTCGGTGGCTTTGCTTATTAATCCCGTTGCTAAAACTTCAATGTTATAAGCACCTGTTGGCAAATTCATTGATTTTAAGGTTCCATCCCCAGTTAATGATAAATATTGAAGTAAATCTTCTGATACATTTTCTATAATTAAAATTAAAATGTTATTAAGATGTATCCTGAATATAAATAAATAAGTAAGAAAGAGCCTTCAACCAAATCGTCGTTAATATCACAAATTGACCTATCTCAATTTTACAGGAGAGCAGTTTAAAGTTATAGACAATCTTTGAAATTGCAGTGTGTATTACTGTGAGGTATATATTTTTCGAGAATATTGTAGCAGTGTAATTTACAGTTTATGTGTGTAGCCTGAATATACTGCAAAACGTGACTAAGTTGTTAGTTTTTGATAAATAAATTAGATACGATTGTTTGTGGGAATAATATTTTTTAGAAATCAGTAGATACGTCCATTTATTATAACACAAACACTGTTTTTGTATACAAAAAAGAATGGTATCTACTGACAGATACTTTATTTTTTCTAAGATCATTGGTACAAAACATACCAATCAGAAATAAAACTCATTTTATTAAAAGTACACAACAATAAAGAAATAAATAAACTTTCTTACAAAACGAAACTGCTGTATCAGAAACTGTTTTAATGGGGTAATAAGGCATAGAAATTTTGATGTCCAGGTAATCTGATTAACGGAATATGGCCAGATCACATTGACTATAAATCTGAAAACCTGGGAAATTTTGTTTGGAGAAAAATTTAGTTGCCCAGGAGATAGTGTCATAGATAGTGTCATAGACGTTTCAAAGACAGACTTTTGTATTCTATCTCCAAGTGACTGGTTTTCAAAAATAGCTTATATGGGTGATGTTTCGAAACCTTAACTTCCATAACGTCTGTCCATATGATGGTTTCTCCGGAATCTGTAGTTTTTATGTTCAAAATTCGAAGTTCTTTGGATAACTCTTTGAAATTTAAGAAATCTTTGTACTATAGAGCAAAAATGTCGTAGGGATTCTGCCTGCATGCTTAATAAGTTGTGAGGGTACAAAAAGATCTCCAGCATCCTTTATCGCATTGGAAATTGGGCTGTAAGCAGAATCTCCTTCGTTTTGCTCATGGAAGGATTCGAAAAATCTCGAAAATATTTCTTCAGTATTCTTAGAGGGTACTGTAACAATATGTAAAAGCATAGCAGCCATTATAGTGTTCTTGTTTTGACCACTTCATCCGTCAGAAAATAATGAAGCGTGTTTCAGCTCTCGCAAGTCATAAGCTTGTAATGCGCTGTACACGCATGTTGCAATTTCTGATGAACCTCTCTTAGTTTCGGTTTCGTGCGAACAATAACATGAACATGCTTTGCTTGAAATATTGTAAAAAGTAAAGTTATAGCCAAATACCTTTTATAAAACAATACACTTTCCTTTGAAATTGGTAAGTAAATTAATTACCTGCTATAAATCAAAAGACGTAAAGAGAAAAGTGTTATCTTCAGTAGCTCTCGCTTTACACTGGTCTTTCAACTCTCTGAATAGTTTTTTCAACCATGAAACATCAATTCTTTCGATGCAACAACATTTTTTGAGCATTTTTTGAAGACATCCATTTTGGATAAACTCACCCCATCGAGAATAAAGCTAGGTGTCCACTTGAGAGAAACTTCTGAGAGTAACTCTCGATATCTACTTGAACAAAATTAAAAAATAAAACAAACAGAAAGAAATAAAAAGAAGCTGTTGGGTGAAACCATGGATTTGGCGTAGATTAGAGCTGGGTATCAATAAATATCAACATTCGTTATCAAATTGTTAGTTATTTGGCATACTGGATTCACAAAAAAGTGAATTCGATTGCTTTAATGGCACTTATAAATGTAAACTATAAGTTTATTGTCGTGCACGTGATAGCTTAATAGTGGCTTGGCAGTATTTTGGAAAATTATTAGAAAATATGAACTTGAGACTAGATATTGTTGGCAAATTAACTAAGTATTACTAATGAAAGACTAGCTGTTGCAAATGAAGCAGATTCATCTTACAGAAGACTTTACATTACTGCCAGAAGACGAAATACTGTTGGTAGAAAACTAGATATTGCTGGCAGAAAACACTACATATTGCTAGTGAAAGACTAGATATTGCAAATGAAGCATAGCCTTCTTGCAGAAGACTACACACTACTACTAAAAAACCAAATACTGTTAGCCGAAGACTTAATTTTACTGTCAGAAGACCAAATTATGTTGTCAGAAGACTAGATATTACCAATGGTACAAATCCCGTTTAAATTTCTGGCCAATACTTGTTAAAATTGATCCGATTTCTTTGTTTTTTAGATTTTGTATTCCAAAGAACTGAATTTTCTTCATACATTTCAATTAATTCAAATATTTCTTCTTGGGACTATTTTTATTTAGGCGTCATCTTTAAACGTGTTATAATGAGAAAACTCGCAGCAAAATTCGAACCGTGTTCGTTTTTGGACAGTTACTCTCACCATAGATAAATTGTGCGTGTCTACTTGAGTACAAGTCTCAACCGAAAGTTGGTGGAGACTCTGTGATAGTTACTCTCAGATGCGTGTCCACCAGAAAAAATACTCTCGAGAGCATTTCTTACAAGTGGACACCTAACTTAAGTACACACTGCCAGACTCCACGTTCATGCGTATGTGCATAAAATGACTTGTCTAAAGTTGCATAGTTTAGATACATCAGTAAGCCCTAAGGATTTTTTTTAAATATTCTCATAAGCTGACGTATGTTGAGTTACGCCAGTTTGTGAAACAGCTGAGTTCAAAAACTTCAGATACGTCGCGACTAAGCTTTCTTGTATCTCTAATACCACTGCGAATTTACGTACGCCGCTTTATGAGAAGAAAATCTATGCCTACAGAAGTGTACCTACAGTCTTTTCTAAAAATTTTTTTGAGATACGTCGGTTTGTGATATTAACTTTAGCTAAACTGTTCAAAAGTTACAACACAAGAGTAGTGCAATAAAATTTAAGAGAAAAACAATTTACCCGTAAAACTAAATATGATATCTTCTTCTATAGATGATTTAGCTATTATTGTCCCGGTAATATCTTCATTAGGTTGACCCTCAAAAACTAATACCCCATTAAAAGCAATTACAGCTACTGGTGATACAACCAAAACAGCTTCAGCTTTGGCTGTTCCTTGCGTTGCTTGAATCATAACATTAATATACCATTTCTTAAAATAATTTATCGGTAAAATCTGAGTCACTTTAATTGATTTATCGTTACTATCATAAACGAAATAATCCTTGTAATCTACAAAAAAAAATTTTTATAATCTCCAAATATCGATTATAATATTATATTTACCTCCAAGAAGTTGAATTTCCGCCCCTTCGTTTACCTCGATTATTACATCGGTGGTCAATTTAGGTTCACCATTTTCTTCGAAATAAGAAGCTTCGTAATAGACATTGCGAAAATTGAGATTATTTTGTACGCTCAAAGCGATGATTAAGGATGTAGTCGCCGAAACTTCGGCGTAATCAATTGATGCGGTAATACTTAACCCGATAAATGATTGGAAATTAATTACATCTTGGGGTAAATTTCTATTTAAGGTAATTTCCAAAACATCGTCTTTAATAACGTGGTCGAAATATTCCGCGTAATCTTGAAATCACAAAAATTATCCGAGATTTTTATTTGTTATTATTAATATTACCTCCACTTAACTTTACATTTTCAGTTATTATCCCTTCAGTTACCTTAATCGGTTTTTTATGAATAATACTATGTTTTTCATTACTCGTATCGTAATCAGCCTCATAAAATCCAAATTCAAAAGAAGGGCTATGAGGAAGACTTGCGGAATCATCGATTATGATATTAACCATTGTTGTACCACTTTTAGTATTCGGTTGTCCTTTATCCTATAAAAATCATTTTAATTTAAGCAATTTAATTTTAATTTGACTTACCGTGGCAGTAAGAGTGTACGTAGTACTTTTAGCCAATCTTAAAGGATTCTTTGTTTTTAAAGCCCCTTTATGCATTTTACCCATCGATGAGGTTGGTTCGCAATCGGAAGCTGTGGAATCGATTCGTCCAATGTATTCCACTTCAAGTGAATCCGCACTATCCCCTTCAATTAAAAAATCGATTCCTTCGTTTGAAATATCATAATCTGTCACGAAAAAAGCTTCCCCGAAAAGTGTAAGGTCTACATTCCCACCGATCGGCATCGGAACTATAAACTCATAGGTGGTGTTCTCAAAAAATGGTTCAAATGTGTTGACGTCGTTAATACTTTGGTAATAATCCTTTAAAAGATAATAATTTATATTCAACTTTTTAATTTTCGAATTAACTTACCACATCGTAGCTATCTCCATCAGTACAAGTCAAAATGATTTTTGTAGATACTCGAGGGTTTGTTGTGTGTATACTATTTATTTCGAAAAATTCTACAAATTCTTGCGAAGGTTTAAACGTTAATTTGTTATCTTGATATTCGACGTCAACGTAAAAATTGTCTTGATTTGGGTTTACCTCAACACTCGCTACATTCTCGGTGGTTATTGTGAAAAAAATTTCCTCGTTCTCGTTTACTTTCTCATAAATACTAATTGTTTTATCATATTTACCTCCATCCAAAACACAATTTTCGCCTATTAAAAAATAATTAATTAATTAATCGAATTTGTTTTTAATTATTACTTACCTTTAGAGTAATTTATAAAAAAAGCAACAAATAACCCAATCATTAAGACACGCATCTTTAACTGCGTCTGTTTGCAAACTGAAAAAATCGTCACTGTATCTAATCGGTTTAGATAGAATAGTGGTATCACGATTACTAATCGACGAATCTTGCATGCAATCAGATGGTGTAATCGATTATATTTGGAGAATTATATAGATTTATTAAGAATATTAAACGATTCTTTGCAAAGTAAAAGATTCCGGAACTTATTAAGGTTACCACTTGTTTTAATTTGAGCCGTTTAATTCAATTTGTCTAATTTATATGATGCCTATCTTTTATAAAAACAATGAACATTATCAATGTTTCGCTATCTCTGTATAAAATGAAAAAAATCTTATCAAAATATTTGTAAAAACACGATATGAACATTTTTATGAAATGTTTATTTCAATAAAGGTAAAATTTGAACATTTAATAAATGTTGCAATTCATTTTTGGACCTTGCAATACCAAAAGATGAGATCCAAATTAGCAAGACAACTGTTTCTATTAGATGAAGTTGTTTTTGTTGGCTGTAAACGAGTTTCTTTCAGAATGTCTAAAAAAAGAAGATAAAAGGTGAAAACAAGCTGTGTTATCAAGGTCGTTTGCGGCCGAGGTTATACAATTAATATAATGTCAACCCGAAATAATAATAATAATAAAAATGTATGACTTTATCCGATTAAGTTGAGGTCGTTTACGGCTAAGGCTATACAATTAATATCAGATCAACTCAAATCTGATCACCACATTCATAATAACATGTCACTTGACAAAAAATTTAAATGGGAAAAAATTATTACATATCATTGTATGAAAACACGTATCAGTAAAAATACTATTTTTTTCTGTCTCAAACGGCCACTATAAATAATTTAAAATGCCATAAAATTTAAATTATTCCAAGCGGCCTTAAACGCGCTGCTTATTGGTCGTGACGTAAAAGAATATGATCTGTGAACAACACCTATGAGAAAAGTTAGGTTATAACACATTAATAACTTTGTTTATCACGTTTTTGTCACGTCTGTGAAATTTCTGTTGCTTGCTGGTAATTTGTATAAATACCATACCTACTATGACTGAAGAAGGATATTCTAAAGGCCAATCTGATAATCTGCCCTTTATTGATATGTTTATGATAGCAAATTTTTAAAAAAATTGTGAATGTTTCTCCCTTGTAGAGATTCGTGGCTGCATAGTTTTTTTAAAAATATACATATTGGAAATTAAATGCCTTTAATTAAAATAATACACATCTTAAAATAATTTGGCTAGGTCTTTCTTTTTGATTATGTTCTTTCATAATAAAAGCTTAAGTTCACAGTACGTCTCATAAAATGCTGTGATGCGGCAACTCAAAATCATACTGTATGACGTCAGCAGCCATGGCGGGATTTGGACATTGTTTGAATGTATATTGTTTGAATACCGATACTGAGATTTTGGTCCGGTATTGCAAGCCCTAATTCGACCCCAACCTGGCTGTGGAGTACAAAAAAACCACTTAAAACAAATAATCAACAATTGGGAGGTCTCAAAGGTAGCCTTACGCTGGAATGAACTTCCAGGTCACAGACAAGCGAAGAATATGATAACTCCTATTTATGTATAGGAGAGGAAATTATGGCATTCCATTTAAAAAAAGTCGCCATTTTGAAATAATTCGTCCAATTGAAAATCTGGTATCACCATCGTGTAGAAAATGTCCTAAAACATATTACTGCCAAATATTTTGAAAGTAATACGCATAGTGCGGCTAAAAAAATAAGGTGCTTACTCTGAAACAGGCTGTATACAAGCCATTTACAACATTTAAAAGATAATTTTAATGTGCCAGTATGGCTTATAGACCCAATGCAGTGCGACATACCTCGACTTGATATTGATGATACGATTCAAGAAGATTTGCTTACATTGCAGGAGGATATGGAAGCACAAATATTATTCAAAATGCATGGTTATGCTAAGTTTTGGAATTTTAAGGTCATCCGAGAAAAGTATCGGCGCTTACAGATCCTGACAGAGCAACTATTATTCAGGATTTAGCCCTGTCAATAATTCGTTCCGTAAAACAAGAAATAAGTTAAACATTTTTGAAAGAGGGGATTTAAGAATAATGTTTTAAACCTAATATAACGAATAAAATGCAGGGGGGGTCGATGTAGTGAACCATACTTGTACAGGGGGTCGATACAAGAAAAAGGTTGGGTACCCCTGCCCTATACCTTTGGAGGGCTAAAGTTACAATAGATCTTATAGGTCGCGGTAACAAAACTTTCTAATTCTAGGTTTATTAGTTATGCAGCGCTAGACCAAGAACTAGAATCATTCGGGTTTAGCCGTCTTAAGAGACGTAAGGCTAAACCCAAATGATTCTAGTTCTAGGTATAGTGTTAGTTCTACATAGTAATAGTGCTAGTGTTAGAAGAATTAGAAACATTCGGATTTAGCCGTGCGTCTCTTAAGACGGAAACTCAGAGTTATCATAAGGACGTTACCTTTTTCAAGCAAAACTTTTCCTTTGCAAAACTACCCAATGCCTGTACTATTAAATGATGTTGCATTTTATGTGAAAAGTGCGTAGTAGTTTCGTAACTATAGTTAGTACATCCAAATACTGTGAGTTATTTATATACGACAAAATTGATTAAAACAACTTTATACACTAATATAAACAGACCTTTCGACATTCCACTTGACAAAAAATTTAAATGGGAAAAAATTATTACATATCATTGTATGAAAACACGTATCAGTAAAAATACTATTTTTTTCTGTCTCAAACGGCCACTATAAATAATTTAAAATGCCATAACATTTAAATTATTCCAAGCTGCCGTAAACGCGTTTCTATTGGTCGTGACGTAAAAGAGTATGATCTCTGAACAACGCCTATGAGAAAAGTTAGGTTATAACTTATAACACATTAATAGCTTTGTTTATCACGTTTTTGTCACGTCTGTGAAATTTCTGTTGCTTGCTGGTAATTTGTATAAATAAAGGCCAATCTGATAATCTGCCCTTTATTGATATGTTTATGATAGCAAATTTATTAAAAAACTGTGATTGTTTCTCTCTTGTAGAGATTCGTGGCTGCATAGTTTTTTAAAAATATACATATTGGAAATTAAATGCCTTTAATTAAAATAATACACATCTTAAAATAATTTGGCTAGGTCTTTCTTTTTGATTATGTTCTTCCATAATAAAAACTTAAGTTCACAATACGTCTCATAAAATGCTGTGATGCGGCAACTCAAAATCATACTGTATGACGTCAGCAGCCATGGCGGGATTTGGACATTGTTTGAATGTATATTGTTTGAATACCGATATTGAGATTTTGGTCCGGTATTGCAAGCCCTAATTCGACCCCAACCTGGCTGTGNCTATAGTTAGTACATCCAAATACTGTGAGTTATTTATATACGACAAAATTGATTAAAACAACTTTATACACTAATATAAACAGACCTTTCGACATTCCAACGATATTGCATGATTTCTCACATTCTTGTGGAAAACATAGAAAGATGTGTCTTTATTTGCAGTAATTTGTAACCATTGTAGTCAACATACATCTTTGTGATCACGCGATATATCTAGTAAGAAGGATATAGACGATGGAGAATTTGTACAAAAACAATGTTTTCGGGTTATTCAACTGGAAACGAAATTACTGTTGGCGTTGTTGTTTCAAATAAAGGTTCGGTAAGGTACGTTGGGTGTTAAAGGTATTGACAAGAATCCGTTGATCCGTGAAGCGGGTTTAGACACGTCAAAATAAGCAAATACCAGGACGACATTTACTTCGCAGGAGGAGGAGGAGTCCGTCCTTTTTCATCAACGTTCGAAGGACAATAACCACTCTCGTGCGCACATCACAGACGCGTTCCGTTCGCATGGTGTTGAGAGCTCTCCCTCTATAAATAGGACGAGTCCATATATCTGTTCGCGTAATTAAATTGGCGAAAGTAAATTAGAAGTTGAACAAAATACATTTGTCATTCGGCGCGGGCTGTTGGACTGCTACCAGCAATGTTAATAACAACATTTCCACGTGATGAACCAATTAAAACGTCTTACTCGCACATGCACACCGTACACCGGCGCTGAACCGAGAGATATACGACCGGCCGGCTGCTGTAATTCTGTTTTGTTTTAGAGCCAAAGTCATCGTAAATTTCAAAGCGAGCCTCTCTCGGCTTCTTTGAGACCTATGGACGTTCCTTTACTTTTCGTTTCGAAACGGAATTCACTCTTAGTAATTGCTCGAACCTACAATGTTAATTTATAACACTCATTGCACATATTTTATTATATCTTATTGTACTTTTATTTCGTTTACCATTACTTAAAATAAATCTAATTGTCTAAGGACCACTTTTACCACCTCTTGATAAATCTATCCGATAGATAAATGCAGCTCTTAGCCAATGAGAGCGCTTAAAACCGTCGTAACCATGGTAACTATCCGCTAGATAGTTTATCAGGAGGATGGTAAAAGTGGGCCTAAGTAAAAGTTCTCATATAGAAGTAGAGAATGAGACTCTTTTCCTTCCCCCGGAAGAAAATGGAAACAATGGGATGTTTACAAGCAGCGGTTGGTGAACGCGCGTGATTTATTCGTCACGTCCGCCCGAACAATTCCGGCGCGTTTCTTTGATGCACGCCAAAGCCTCTTTCCTCCGCCCGAAGTAGAAGGTTCGGTCCGCCTACGGGCACAGAAAAAGAGAGACCTCGCCGGGGAAGAACCGCATCCAAGAGAAAAACGAGCGGTTGTCGCCGCTGAACGCCGGAAACGGATAGATTTATCCGGCGGCGACGGAAGATCGGGAGATTTATAAAATGCGTCCGGTTTTTCGACAACGAAACCGCCAAGATAAATGTCGCCACATTCGCTATACGTCCCACGTTTTGTACTTACCTCAAAGCACACTCCATTTACTCGTTCTAAACGTTGATAAAGTGCCTAACAGATAAAACGAAGCTTGAATATTATGTTATACGAAAAAAAATGATGTTAATTTCTTGGTGAAAATTAACCG